GCCTTTTTGTACTGATCGGGATCCATATAGGTCTCTATCGGCCTGTTTTCCCTCTTGCTCATCTCCTCGACTGCACCGTCAAGCTCTTGCAGAAATCGCTTGGTGTCCAACCACAGCTCGTTCCAAAGCTCATCTTTTCCCTTGCTCAGCAACATTGCCACCGCTTCACCCACAACTGGTCCACTAAATCTTCTTTTCTTGCGTGCCAGTTCGTAGAGCGCGTCGTGGTACTGCTTCCGGGAAAAAGTGGTTGTTTCTTCCACACCGACACGTTCTTTCTTCTCAGGCTTCCAACCATCACTTAGCAAGATGTTGTATGCGCTCCGAGCCTCATTATTCAGGAATGCATGATCCGCAATACACTCCACAATCACGTCCATTGAACGACTCAGCAACATCCCAGTGATTTTGCCCACATAGTCATTATTAATTGTTTCATCTTCCAGGAGATTTCGACAGATCTTCTCTCCATAGAGCTGTTTCTGCTCAGCCTCCTCTTGTTCCCTCGAGGATGCTTTTGACTCGGCGAACCACTCACGAGACTGCGGTTCCTCTGACTTCCAGTCCCATTGACCATCAGAACCTTTGTACCATTGACCAGTCTGCCATGAGCCTGTCCACCATGTACCCCAGCCGCTGTCCTTCCATTTGCGCAGCTTTGGCGAGGAATCCTCCTCGTTCTCTTCCAAAACCAGAAAGGTGTCCAAGATTATGGTACCATCATCTTCCACTCGTTTCACTGTTCCATTGACAGTATCACCAAATTGGAACTGATGTACATTGTTCCCTTCTGCAGGAATCAATACATTTAGATCACCATAGTCCAAAAAAGCTCCATACCCATTGATGCAGCGCACTAGACCAGTGATCTTATCTCCCTCTTCATAGCAATGTGTCCCAGGTGATTCCAAGGCTCCCGCTCGGGGCACTTTCTTTGCATGCTCTTCAGAAACCATCTCTGTATCATCGGCTCCTGGCGCATCCTTTATCTTCACCTTTGGGTCACACTGCTCGTCCTGTTCCACGAGTCCCACAAGCTCATCTTTTTTGTGCTCTTGGATTTCAGGACTTCCCTTTTTCTCTGCCAAAGGCTTTGCCTCATCTGCTTCAGTTCGCTCGGTGTCGACTTCCGGTGAACTTCCAGACGGCAACGCTTCTCCCTTCATGGGAGTGGACCCTTCATTGGTGTCCTTTGTCACACCTTCTGCAGCAGGCAAATTTTCTTCCGCTGCAGGGCGATTGAGTTGATCATCCACGGCAGGCACACTTTCTTCCACCGCAGGCTCCTTTGGTTCCATGGTTTCCAAAGGAGAATTGCCACCATCATTGACCACAGCTGCCTCATTGGCTCCGGTGTAGTCCTTGTCATTTCGTTCCTCGCGGCTAATTTCAGGTTGCACCAGTGCGTCCACCTGTGAACCTCCATCATCAGCTGCTGCGGAGACCTGCGCCCCATTGTTGCAGTCGCCCGTGGAACGTACCACCATATGCACCTCAACCCGTGCCTCATTCGCACTCCAGGTACTATCTGGCGCATCGACCCGCGCTTCATTGGCGCTCCAGGCCTCATCTTTCTTATCAACCGTGTCTCCAGCAGTTTCAGAAGTTTCCTTTTCCCTTTGAATGGCAGAATTCTCGGCACCAAACGAAGAGACCTCCTCAGTCGTAATGCACAACTTTTTCTCTTCGTCATCCAAATCTCCAGGGCCATCTTCCTGAACGACAGGCACCACATCCACCACTCGCTCTTCTGTAGCCGACACAATTCCGATCTCCACATTGGGCATTTTTTCTTCTGGACCCACCGATTCCACCGCTGCCACACCCTCAGAAAGCATCCCCATTTCTTCCCGATCCAGATGTTGAGCTTCAGCGATGTCTGCTCGGTTTCCAGAAATCCCCTCTTCATCAGGAGAACCCGAGGTCGGGGCGTCACCACCACCCCTAGGACCGCTATCCCCGATAGTAGAGGAAAAATCCTTTTCACTTACACTATTTACACCGCTGTTCACACTTTCCATGCTACCCTGCTGTGCCCTAGAAGACTCAGTAGATGATGGAGACGAGGTAGCACCCAGCGTTGGCTCATCTTCCACAGGGACAATGCCCATTCCAATACCTGGCCCCTCGCTATTTCCAGCCATTCCAGTCTTCTTAGGCAACACCCATTGGGTATCACCAGTGTCCAAGCAGTAAAAATATTCTCTCCCATCCTCGTGAAAATGGCGTTCCCATGTCTTCCCATCGCAGTCGACGATTGGAAGGTCAGCAGCCTGAGACGCTTTGCCTCCACCACCAGCGTTTAAGTCCTCGTCTGACTCTTGCTGTATTCTTGCTGCCTCCAATTCCAGGATTTCTCCTTCGCTCATCACCATAGCAACAGGAACGACTCCTTCTGCGTCCCCAACAACGAGGATACTGCTTTTTGTCGCAGCAACAGGCGCAGTTTCTTCCACTTCACCTGTCAACAGATCACCACTTTCAGCCGCGAAACTCACCTTGTTGCGAGCTCGCTTGGAAACAGGGATAACATCCCCAACCAGTTCTGTCTGGCACCCTTGCTCCACCATCTTTGACGTAGAGGAGCTTGTTGTTGGCGCTCCCGTTGATTCAGCAGATTCCGCAGCTCGAAGAAGATGCCCATGTTTGCTCAGAAGGCGCAGCAAAACTGCTTCCATCTGGTCTTCCAGTCCTTCCACCACCGGCTTCTCTTCGCCACGCATACCACCAACATCAACCAGAGCTTCCTCATTGGGAACGACTTTTTCACCCGTTGCAGACCTTTTGACACCACCATCACCTTGGTCGCCCACATTGGAGCTTGATGATGCCACCCCAGTCCGTAACCAGTTGGTCGCCATGGCTTCAAGCTTCCACCCTGAAGCCGAAACACAAACCGCAGGGAACCTAATTTGGGCTCATAACCTACGGGGGGAACCCGAAGGGGGACGAGAAACCGAAAAGTCAACCCCAACAGAATCCCTTGATTTCCCTGGATCAACCACACAACAAACCCAAACCACAGGGCACTCACCTTTTACTACCAGGCACATGGCCCAGTCTTGAGCCAAAAAATAATTTCCGGGTTTATTAACCCTTTCAACTTCCAACACTAACTCTTTTTACAATACCAGTTGCAGCTCCGCACCCTGAACCCTGAACGTGAGCAATTCGGGGTTCAGGGTTGTGGTATTTCCTCGGAGCTCCAGCTCCCCATGCTTTGCGGCATTCGGGGCATTCTGCAGGGAGAGCAGGCCACCAGAAGCACCAGCAATGCTCCATTTTCGATATCAGAAGCATCTTTCTTGTCATTGCATGAACAATTGTCTTGTACACATAAAATAGAAGACCTATCAAAGTGGTATTATTCTCATTGTACATATATATATATGCATATATATATATATATTTGCATAATCATTTACACAGTAATATCTCGGGTCACATGTCAACGAGAGCCCCCGTAAGACCTGTAAGGCCATCCTCCAGACGCTCGCCGAGTCGCCGGGCACCACGCCGGGCATGGCTGCAGTGCTTGGCAGCGGCCGGGGGGGTGGGGGTTTAGGGTTTAGGGTTTAGGGTTTAGGGTTTAGGGTTTAGGGTTTAGGGTTTAGGGTTTAGGGTTTAGGGTGTAGGGTGTAGGGTGTAGGGTGTAGGGTGTAGGGTTTAGGTTTACCCTTGCAACTCATATCCAGACTCAGGCCGTTGGTTTGTCTGACGATTCTCCCCGTAAACGCTTGCGACACGGGTGGGAAAAAGAACCTAGGGGTGCTTCTTCGTGGGGAAGGAGGGAATTATGGGCACCCGATCGAAGTCGCTTAAAGGGTATATATAAATATAAATAAATAAATAAATATATATATATATATATATATATATATATATACATACATGCATATATATATATGTATACACACACACATATATATATATATATAAATGTAAATAAAACAATAAATATAAATAAACAAATACATATATATATATATATACATACACACAGTTTGTTTTTTGTGTATACATAGGGGGATATAAGGTACCAAATGACCTAATTCGCATTCCTTGAACCAGCAGGTCAAGGTTGCATGTTGGACCCAAGGCTTTTTGAAGGCTGCATTGTGCCCCGAAACCCTAAACCCTAAACCCTAAACCCTGTTTCCTAAACCCTAAACCCTAAACCCTGTTTCCTAAACCCTAAACCCTAAACCCTAACACCCTAAACGCTAAGCTGTGCCAGGGCCGTTGCCTCCGCCGCCCCCGGCATCGTTGATGCCACCGGGCCAGGCCCCGGACCGACGACAGATTGTTGGAGCTTTTGGGTTTCGGGTTTGGGAGGGTTTGGGGTTTAGGGTTTAGGGTTTAGGGTTTAGGGTTTAGGGTGAAGGGCCAAGGGGTGGCTGAAGGCTGAAGGTTACCGGCTATCGAGGGTCCATTTTGGAGATGGGTTGCTTTGCTGCAGGCCACCATGATGTCCCCGCTAGCGCAAGCAACTGGGCCTGGAGGGCGTGGCATGTGCGGCGCATTACGAAAGATGGCCCAAGCACAGCATCCAGCATGTGATCCAGCATGCCTAGGCATCTGCTCCGGCCTGGACTGGCGTAATCACGCTGGCAAGGATCCTAGCTTGACTGGCAAGCAGGTTGTTTTGCATCTTCGGAACCCTGTGGGAAGCTTCATTGATGAGTGGTGTTCCATTCCCAGTGCCAAGGCCCGGAACATGGCCAAGAAGACTCCCTATAGGGCTGCGCTGATCCAGGGCAAGGTCGCAGACGTGGAGGTGCGACGATTTGTTGCATGCGTTGCATGCAGCTAGATGAAGCTTGAGGAGCCTGATCCGAGGGCCCGATCACGTGTCAGAAGGTGAGAATCGAGGTCCTTCAAGCATGCTCAAGCCAAATTGTCAGAGACTCTCGAGCCACAAGCTTTGCATCATACAGCTAGGCCACCATTGCATGTACTCGTGCATTACTCACTCCTCCTCATTGTCGTAGCTCGGAGCCATGGGCTTGGTCTTCGGCAGAGGCGAGTCGAATCACGCGAAGATCTTGTTGCGCTGCGAGGGCTTTATTCCGATGTGCATGTATCACAGTAGTAGGCAGTCTTCTTGCATGCTGCAATGGCCCGCGGTCTGTGCTTCGTTGTGGCCAAGCATTACAAGCTTGTAGGGAGGGCGATGATAGGTATTGGAAGGTTTGGACACTTTGAGGGAATACCAAATCGAGAACCGACGCAGCAAGTACAAAGGCATGCGAGCAACACTCCATCCATGTGCCAGGTCCGGAGCCGGAGAAGTCGACCGCGGAGGAACCTCCCTCGATGCCGGCTGGTGCGTCCAGCGCCCCTCGCTGGCTGCAACGAGTGCGTTCGGCAGTGCCGCTGCCGGCAGACCCGGCGAAGCAGGCACGCAACAGCACGCCTCTCCGAGAAGTCATCGGTGCTGGGGCGATCTTTTGCAAATCTTGTTTCCATGAGTTCCGCGCCGAGTGCCATTCGGAGGCCGCGCCTGTTCACAGCAGCCCCGGCCGAGTCCTCCGGCCAAACAGCGGCCTGGTCTTCGCCAGATGCGTCTTCTCTGCGCCAAGCTCTCCTGATGGCCCAGGCATTGCACCTTCGTGGCATTGGCGCACAGTTCAGATGTACCTGTTAGATAAGAGAAGGTGCGTGAGGGGCGTGCTGGGGGTTCTTGAGGCGCTTGGGGTTCAGGGTGCACTGCAAGGCTCGGCGCTGCAGGGCTTGAAGGTTGAGGGCTAAGTGTTCATCATGTTTCTTGTACGTAGATGCAGTGAACAGAAAAGCCCCATTCACGCACCATCACCGAGATGCTTCTCTTCTAGTCACTGCTACAGGAACACTTCATCCAGAGCAGTGGCAAGTCTATTCTATAGATGCCTGCGTGCGTTGCCCTTGTTTGCCATTGCTGCCAAACACAGCAGGCTAGACTCTTTGTCTGCTTGTGGGTTTAGGACATAGTGGGGGATCCAAAAGCACATGATGGAACCATGGGGGACGCCAGGAGCTTCGCCTCTGAGGAACGGGCGTGAAGGGGCACTTCTAGCGATGCAATCGCATAGGAGAACAAACCTTCAGCGTGTTGACTCTCGAAGATGTAGACCCGCCACTTTCTCGCCTGTAGGTATCTTGAGCAAAGCCAGAAGAGCAGCAGTAAAGTCGAACCTCATGGACATTCATGGACCCTGCCTGGTGAAGATAAGGTGGTGGAGCGTGCCCTGGTCGACACGGGCTCTTCAGACTGTGAACCTAGGTATCGATTTGGGATCATGTTTAACTTTCCCTCATTGTTTAATATGCAGCCCTAATTATGAAAACATTTTGGGGACTCCTTGAAATCGACCCCTAGGAGCTGAGGGAAGGCTTGCTGAGGCGGCTTCCGGAACTTCCCATCGTGGAGAGAGGGGCCGCCGGCTCAGCAAGAGCGTGCGCCGTTTTGTTTGGGCACCCTTTGTGAAGGCTGTGAAAGTGGTTTCCATTATTCTATCTATTTGTTACCCTTCTTGCCCTGGTAGGTGTGAACTTATTGCCAAGAACATGTCTTCTTTCGCACTCGAGGTGATGTATGAGACCTCAACGGGTGGAGAGGCTTACGATGCCTACGAGGCTGCGCGCGCGCCAGGCGGCTTGTCCTTTGCACGAGCTCCCGAGCCTGGCAGGTGGTGCTGACCGTGGGCGGCCATCGATGCGCGGCAGTGCTGACCGTGGTGCCAGAGGACGGATCACCCATGATGACCTTGTAGGCGAGAACAGGATCGGCAGAGCACTAGAAATTACATGAGACATTGCATGATACTGTTATATTCATGTTCATATCTTCTCTAACCAGGAGCGCTTCCAGGCGGGTGCTGAGGAGCCCTGCTCGGACGAGGACAGCTGCAGCAGGGTGTAATAGACTCAGACGGGGCTTCAGCCACAACAGCAGAGATGCCTTGGACTCACGGGTTCAAGGGCATTCGTCTCTCGGGAGGCCCTGCTTGGGCACATGGCAATCGCGGCCCTGGGCTTGGTTGTCGACTGCCCCACTCGAAGTCTGGTGTCCACTCAGGCATCAGGGAGTTGTGTGGAGGCATCTGGTCCGGATACCTTGCGGTTCCTGTCAGACTGCAATAGGAACGCAGCAAGACAAGGACCAAAGCTCACCACCTTGCTTGTCGCTACAACTATGACTCTTGAGTGTCGATAGCTCTTGCAGCGCATTGGTAGCCACACTTGCCTCGTATCTTGGACATGTTGGTCCTTCATGCTTCCTTCTTCCGACAAGGCAAGAATGACCCATATCCATTGGTTGCATCCGCTTTGTGGACAGGCAACTGAGTCTGTGGGAAAGCCGCATCAGGCTGATGGTCCCCATCTGAGTTGATTCGATGTATAGGGTAGGCAGGAAACAGGAGCTCAGCATGTTGCAGCTTTGTTTTTTCCCCTCACGCAACTGCAAGAAAGGATCGCCGGCGTACCTGCAGATGGGGCAGCTGCACGTGGCCAGCTCGAGACCATGGGCTACACTCCCACCCTCGGCCCCTTTTGTGGGATCGCTGAGTCAGATGTGGTCCTCTTACCGGCATGGCTCGGCCACCTTGCAGCCGCGATGGCTGCCGGGCACCGGCTGCTCCATGCCGCTGATGCTGGAGGGTCTGCCAAAGCTTGCGGATGCCCAGCCCTGTGAAGTCGATCCACACGGGCCGCACGTCCAATTTGCTCGTGTCTTTGAGACTTCTTTGAGGTGATAGGCTTAGGTGATAATACGTAATGATGTTGTAGCTTGCGGCTCGGTGCTGGGACGAGCTGCGGCGCAAGGTCCCCAATCATTCCCGTGACCTACGTGCACTGCATGTTCATGTCCCCCTTGCAGCCGCAAGCGGGTGGCCCATTTGTGAACATGGCCTTGGTGGACACCGGCTCCTCAGACTGTGAGCTGCGAGAGAGTTATCTGAAGCAGCTGGGGCCTCTTCCGACGGTGGCCGCCGGAGTCGTCTACGAAACGGTGGCCGGGAGGCACGTCTTCGACTCCTACGAGGTCTTGGTGAAGGTGAACGACCGGGTGGCCGCCGTGGCCGTGACGGGAATTCCCGAGGACCCAAGTTATCCCAAGTTATCCCAAGTTCACCTTGCGTTTGGGAGTTGGGACAAGGACAACGGCTCGGAACTCCTTCGGGCCTTCCTCCTTTTATCTCGGGTAGGCATGTTTGGCCCGGTGCCGGTCTTCAATGCATAGGCGGTTGTACGATCACTCCATTTATGTCTTAAAGAAGATATACTTTGCCCAGACCCTGCCTGGCAACAGAGACCAGTCGCCATGAACTCCAATAAGCTTCCATGCCAGGAGCGCTTCCACCCGGGCGCGGAGGACCCCGCTTCGGACGAGGCGCGCAGAACGTGAAAGCGCGAAAGCTCGGGGTCTGCATCACAGCACCGGCGTCCTTCGGGCCTTCGTTCAAGCCTGGGGTGGGTGGGGTGAGGGGGGGAGGTTGGGAAATCCACCTGTCTGGAAGTCTAACTCTGAGTGTGGCCTTGCAATTGCAAGCTTCCTCACCTTTTCCTTCTCTCAATGCCGAGAAGGAGCACTACTCGTAGCGGTCACTAGCGAGTCGCTTTCTTCAACCTTGACTTTCAGAAGAGGGCTTTCCAGCCATTTCTTATTCTTGTTCTTGTTCTTGTTCTTGTTCTCCGTCTCAGTCTCAGTCTCAGTCTTAGTCTTATGCTTCTTCTTCTTCTTCTTCTTCTTCTTCTTCTTATGAAGCCCCAGAATCCCGACAAAAAAAGGCCCAAGATCCCTCTGGGTGAAGGGAAGCCAACCATCCCGCGAAACTTTATGGGGAGCGCCTCGGGCCTAATCGTATAGTAGCATCAACCCGAGACCCGACACAACTCGCAAAGAAAGTTTAAAGTAGAAGCAGAGAAACAAATTCAGCCGGAGGCTGTTTTGGGTCTGGCTTCGCTCTCTGCTCTTGGCCTACTCGTGGAGCCTCAGAGAAGGGGGGTTCAAGAGGTGAGTCGCCTGAAGGGGATCTTCAGGGATTGCGGGGGCGACAGCCACGGTTCCCCTCAAGCCTCACTTGGGGTTTTGTGCGGGGCTTGGCCTTTTGAGGAATTACAGGAGCTTGCAAACGCCGAATGGGTAGTACAGTTTTTGGTGCCAAGCTCCAGAAGAGTACCTGACCTGACCACCTGGAAGGTTATTTGGGTCGTCGGCATGAAGATGATTAATGCAGGGTTTAGGGGCACAGGCATAAAGCTGGGTTTGCTGCAGCCTCAGGACTGTGGCCAGCGGGAAGTGCGCAAGAAGGATTGAGCAACAAAAAGAAGGAGGATGCGCATGCACTTCATGCAAGCTTTTCCTGCACTCTGCACTTTGCAGTAGGAAGGCTCTCCCAAGCTAAGCGCCTAAGCGGCAACTTTGTAGTACCTCCCGTGGTGCTGAAAGAGAGACTAACTCTTTGGCTGTCCAGCCCTACCAAGTGTCGCTGGCAAGGCTACTGTCTTTGTCATTCGGCATTCCTGGACATTAACTGGCGGTTCGCTTTTTTCAGGGTTGTAAATGGCGGCGCTACTGGAGCTTTCTGCGTCTGAAGCAGCCCATCCACAGCATCCGCGTCAGCTTTCTCCCTAACAGGTCGTTCTGCGATCTGCCGCTGCCAATTCCAGTGTGGCTGTGGGATCCCAAGTGTATCTCACCTACAGGGTGTACAAGTTGATGCTTCCTACTAGTATGGCAGGGGCAGCTTTGCATCATCAAACTCGCTTGTAAGGACATCACCCACCGTGTCCCCTTCGACGAAGTAGCGAAGAAGGCTTGGAACGCACGCTTTCCCTAATGTTCAGGCAACTGCTCACGACCCCGAACCGATCTGCACAAGAGGGCTTGGCGTGGGTTGGTTTTCGATTAGGGCGGATTTTCCTGAGGTCCGGCTACCGATTGAAGCTGTATTAGGTAGCAGGGATCGCACCAGTATGGAGAGTCAAATGTTCAAATTCTTGCTGCGCATGGCGAGAAGCTTAGACATCTTCTGCCCAGGCCGTTTTCACCAGGAGTACAGTAGCATCTCGAACCCAAGATGCTTCGAAACCTGGCGTTAGGTGGCGAGTGGTTCAATCCTTTCCCTCGTACCGCAGGGTGCTCAGCAAAGGTTGAGCGGAGATGGTGGATTTGCGGAAAGGGTGGGATGGTAGCAATCACCCACTCGCTGGCTCAGGAATAGCTTCATGGAGCAGGCCCGCGATCATCCAGCTTCCTTGGAAAGACCTTTTGCGCTGTGCTTCCTCGTAGGCAAGCTTCGAAGAGTACAACAAGTGATCCTATGCCTTGTCTTGCACTCATGAATCATGGTAATCATGGTGCTAGCTTCCTTTGAGGCCATCTGTCGCATGGCTTTCATGGTGCTCATGTTGATCTAGATCTCTGAGCACGTGAGGTTTCATTCCAGCTGCTGAGAGGTACTTCCGTGCGAAAAGTAGGGCAGGAGTGGCCCGGCTCGATGGCTCGCTGGCCTTGTACGTCATGCCATGCGGGGAGGACAGCATCGAAGCTATCAAGTTTAGGGTTTAGGGTTTAGGTTGTAGGCGATCCGTGGGGTGACCTGACGTGGTTCACATGTGTATACTGGCTCCCGCTTACTCTTCGTTGCATCTTTTTAGAACCACGGTTGGACGCTGTGAAAGCCGCCCGCATCGTGAAGGTGTGCTTGTGACAGAGTTCGTTGACAGTTAATGCCAGGCCTGCCAAGATGTGCCACAAATGATTGGCGCAACAGACAGCTGAGTCGTGCAACTTGTTCAGTTTGTCACATCAACGTACACAGTTTGTGTTGTCGTAGGCGAGTCTGAAACTTTTAAGCATTCATAGCATCGAGTTTGTTGGTCGAGCCGTGACAAGCTTGGCCGTTTACATTGTGGCGAGGACATCGCGGCCCTCAAAGACTCATTGTACGCTCTGGGGCCGCACATTCCCAGGGCAGGATGTTTGATAGGCAGGGTCCACATGCTTTGCCGCTGCCAAGAGTAAAAGACGTGCCGTGGCTGAGCAGGCTTGATCGCTCCAGGGACTGCGGCCGTCAATGCGGCCCCATCGGCCACTGCAGCGCCAGTGGGCACAGCCTCTGCTAGCAAGCCTTCGAAGCAGGACGATCACTTCAGTTGCAAGTATAGAGGTGAGATGAGGTGAATGGTTGAGCGCCACTGCCGCTAACAATCCATTGTAGAGTTTTCGCTTCGTTCTGTCACGAGTTACATCATGGCTTTGAGCATGTTGCCTGTTTCCTTGGCTCAAGAGATTGTAGGATTCAGTTGGGTTTTCCACAGCCCTCCAATGTTTGTGCTGTTTGTGAGCAAGTACAACACTCAGTCAGTCTCAGCTGGTCATACCATGTGGTATTTCTTTGTTTTTTGCTTAGCAAACTTGCGGGGTGACGGCTTGAACCTGGAGACCCCTCTGTGTGCTTGTGGTTCTGTACTAGACGTGTACTAGTGAATTCTAGATGGCCTCCTACTAGTACCGGTCGGATTCCCGGTAGAAGGGCCGCCGAAAATAAGGGACGCAGCCTCATCGGACAAATCTGACACTGCCGTCACACTACCGGCTTTGTCCTGCGATGATTCACCTAACATGTCGCGCCTGTGCTGGTCGAGATATGAGTCCAAGGCAGCGGAACCTGAACCCTAAACGGGTGGCAACAAAACTACACCAGGTGTGTGTGTTGTGTGTGAGTCGAAGCCCCATCAGGATTGTCATTGTTATGATGAGGCATTGGCGATGATATTTGCTACTGTGTTGTGGTCGCTGTGCTAGTGGCTCATCTTGCTTTTTTGCCAGTCTCAGCGTCATGAGCTGCGTGTGTGTGTGTGTGCGTGCTTGCAGAGTCGCTATCTTTACTTAGTTTGACTACGAGTACCGCTTATCGTTGTTGCGGGAAGATGCTCTGCTGGCTGCCGTCGCAATGTGTCTCATCTTTGCAGCGATGCCAAAACGTGTCCGTGTCGGCTATGTTCGATCGAGCACGCTAGGTACAATCATCATCATGAGTCATCTTCCGCTTTATTCGTCATAGTTATGTCATGTTTTTTCTGCTTGCTGTTAAGCTATTGCCCTTGCCACCTGACCATGATCATCTGTGATATAGGAGTGGCCATTGTTTGTTTCATCACGAACGAGTCGATTATTGTTCGTTCATGTATGCCCCCGACGGTTTCGTCATTGTTCGCTTACTTTTGTTTATGAAGATGCTTTTCGTAGTCGTATTGGCCGAGGGCCTGCCCTGTCTCACAGGCTTACCTTGCCATCGGCAAGGGCTGCTACGCATTTGCCGTCAACAAGACGCTGGTGCCAGGGCTGATCGATGTCCGCAAAACCTTCGTGGGGTCACGATACATGGCACGTGTTTTGGGTGTCATCCGACAGCGCCCGCCTTTTTGGTAAGGAATCGCGGCTCACACATGGATACTCAGGTAAGCCACCTGTGGAGTTGTGAGGGCTTTGCAGAGGACCGGGGGCTGAGAACGACAGAGCGATAGGACGCCACCGTGCTCGCTGTGAGACCCTCTGCCAGGACACCCGCGTGGTGGTAGAGGGCCCCAGCGGCTTCTTGGCAGTCTCTTCTGGTCGAAGCATCTATGTGCTGGATGCTCATTCTCCGGCTAAGCCGCGAATATCCTGGACCGATGCCCATCAGGACTCTAGACTGCCATACATCCTCGCCGATGTGACACGCAGTCAGGTTGTTGCCGCCTAAGGATACAATCTATTCCATGCATTTCGACACCCAGACAGGTATCATTTTCAGTTCGGGCAAGGCTCGCTTGTCTGCTTGCAATAGGTCTACGACACTTGGTTCGTGCTCGCCAGACGCAAGCACGCTGCAATTGTGCCTGCAATCTCCAGAGACCTTGTGTGCTGCTGCCCCATGTTTTCCTTAGCAGGACTGCTGCCTCAAAGCCTGGGAGCTCAATGGCGAAGAGCTGTTATTGATAGGCTCGCGGCCAGAAGCACACAGGGACTTCGTGGTTGCGCTGCAGTTTCTCTCTGGTAGCAGGCAGGGCCCTCAACGAACAAATCTGTACACAAGGCTTGTGAGTTTGTAAGTTTGTCAGTTTGAAAACTGTGCTGGTCTCAGGGTTCATGCCAAGCTTCTTCCCATGACAAGCTGTTGAATGTTCAAAGTTCCATGTGAGGCTTCTCATCACGGCAGGGCTGGATGGTCTTGTGCGCGCGTGGCGCGTGGGGACTACGGGTGCGTTTGCACTGCTTGCTACGTCTACTGAAGTTCATGCAGAAGGCATTACAGGCCTCTGCAGCTTGGCGAGTTTCATAGGGTTTCGGACACTTTGCCTCTGACCTTGAAAGTCCCCGACACTGGCAACATGTGAGTGGCGATTATGATGCTAGTTTGGTGGCCGTTAGGGTAAGCACGTTGTGTCACATCGCGGTTCGCTGTTTCTGACATCCGGCGGAGGGTTTTCTTACCCTCCATTGTCTTGTTCCGTTCAGTCCCTGAGGTACGAACATGATCGAGAACTTGTCGGTAAGCGCAGGAAGAGATGGAACATTGCGGCTGTGGCGCTACACGCCTGGGCTCCTTCGCCTCCTCGATAGCGAGGCCAAGGATTTGGGAGCTGCCGGAGCTGCTTTTTTTTTGGTTCCTGAACGCTGGCAACCAAAAAGAAACATAAACCCTAAACCCTAAAACCCTAAAACCCTAAAACCCTAAACCCCAAACCCTATGAGGCCCTAAACCCTCTTCTGTTGTGCTGTTGGAGGTGGAGATGCATGCAGGGTGGGCAAGATGCCTGGAATTCGACGCGGCCTCTGGCCTGGTGGTCAGCGCTGGGGACGACGGAGCCGCCATGCCGCAAAATGTCTGCAACCCCTGCGATTGCCCCCCCCCCCCCCCCCCCCCCCGTGGGTGGCTTAAATAGGGTTTATTTGGAAGCTGAGAGTCGTGTTTTTGTGTGGTAGATACAAAGGAAAGGGCATAAGAAAGTAGCGAAAGGAGCTCCTCAATTCCCTTCCTTATCTCCTATCCTCTTTTCTTTACAGGAGAATACAGGAAAAGGGCCTCCATTCCCCTCTTGTTCTTCCTTTCTTGTGTTTTTGTCATTTAAAGGGGAACAGGAGAAGAGAAGGGAAAGAGAAGGAGAGAGGAGAGATAAAAGGAACACAATTTTAATGGGAAGAGCCAAGAAAAGAACAGAAGAGAGATGAACAAAGAAGATGGAGAGACAAAACAAGGCGCAAAGAAGATGGCACTCTTCTTTATCTATCCTCTCTCCCTTCCCTCTCCCTTCCCTCTTTCTTTTCGAAACAGAAAAACTAAAAAGGAAGAACTTGAAAAGGAGAAGGGTAAGGAAAAGAGCAGAAGAGACAGGCCGAAAAGAGGGATATGATGAAGTATGGGCAAGGTCCACGCGCCAGGAGTCACCCTCTGCTTACCCTTCCACTGCTTTATCATACAAGTTCCTTTCTTGTGTTTTATTCGTTAAAATGTAACAGAAGGAGAGAAGGGCAAGGGAAGTGAGAGAGGAGAGACAACAAGGAGGCCATTTGAATTTTCTGGAGGGGTACTGAAAAGAAGAGAAGACACAAGAAACAAGGAGACGGATAGCACTCTTCTTTATCTATCATCTCTCCCTTCCTTGTCTCTCGCTTTTCCCTCTATAATGAAAACAAATAGGTGCCCTCTCCTCTTCAGGAAGCCCCCTTGCCCTTATTTTGCTAGCTTTCTGAAACGACAAGGAAAACAACACATAGAAAGAGAGGAAAGGGAATGAAACAATAGGCAGTGGAGCTCTTCAGTGTCTTTACCTATCTCTTTTCTTCTTTTTCTTCTTCATTCAATAAGGAAAAGAAGCTTCCTTTGGTGTGATTTTGAGATTCAAAAGAGAACAAGAGAAGAGAAGGGAGAGAGAAAGGAGAGAGGAGAGATCAAAAGGAAGCAATTTTCATGGGAAGAGCAATGAAAATCATGGAAGAGAAATGAAGACAGGAGAGGGAGGTGCAAAATCAGGCAAAGAGAAGATGGTGCTCGTTTTCTTCTTTCCTCTCTTTCTTATCTTTCCCTTTCAAATGAAAACAAAAGGAAGCATTCCCCTCTTGTTCTTCCTTTCTTGCGCTTTTGTCATTTAAAGGGGAACAGGAGAAGAGAAGGGAGAGAGAAGGAGAGAGGAGAGACAAAAGGATTGCATTGTTAATGGGAAGAGCAAAAAAAGAATAGAAGAGAGATGAATAGAGAAGTGGGAGAGACAAAACAAGGCGCAGAGAAGATGGCACTCTTCTTTATCTATCCTCTCTCCCTTCTCTCTCCCTTCCCTCTTTCTTTTCGAAATAAGAAAACAAAAAGGAAGAACTATGAGAAGGAGAGGGTAAGGAAAGGAACAGAAGAGATAGGTCGAGAGGAGGGGTATGATGAAGTATGGACCGGTCCACGCGCCAGGAGTCACCCTCTGCTTACCCTTCCACTGCCTTATCACACAAGTTCCTTTCTTGTGGTTTATCAGTAAAAAGGAAACAGAAGGAGAGAAGGGAAAGAGAAGTGAGACGAGATAACAAGGATGCCATTTTGCTGGAAGCGCAACTGTATGTGGCCACAACAAGCAGGCCAAGGAGGCTCAGGCGGGGCAAGTCTCTCCCTAATTAGAAAAATCAATCTTGCTATTCACAGGTAGGCGCCCTTCTTCCTCTTCAGGAAATCGCCTTTCCCTTATTTTGCTTTTTGAAGCGAATAAGACAAACAACAGATAGGAAGAAGAGAGGACAGGGAATGACTAGGTAAAGAGAGGAGCTCTTCAATTTCCTCCCTATCTCTTAAGTTACTTTTCCTTCTTGGGCGGGTGTCCTTTTTTCTTCCTTGAAGATGCAGAAAACTAGCAAAAAGGACACCCGATCGCCCATTTTCTTTTCAATTCCCTTCCTTATCTCCTATGCTCTTTTCCTTATTCATTGCAACAGGAGAATACCGGAAAGGGGCCTCCATTCCCCTCTTCTTCCTTTCTTGTGTTTTTGTCATTTAAAGGGGAACAGGAGAAGACAAGGGAAAGAGAAGGAGAGAGCAGAGATAAAAGGAACACAATTCTAATGGGAAGAGCCAAGAAAAGAATAGAAGAGAGATGAACAAAGAAGATGGAGAGACAAAACAAGGCGCAAAGAAGATGGCACTCTTCTTTATCTATCCTCTCGCCCTTCTCTCTCCCTTCCCTCTTTCTTTTCGAAACAGAAAAACTAAAAAGGAAGAACTTGAAAAGGAGAAGGGTAAGGACAAGAGCAGAAGAGACAGGCCGAAAAGAGGAATATGATGAACTGAAAAGAAGAGAAGACACAAGAAACAAGGAGACGGATAGCACTCTTCTTTATCTATCATCTCTCCCTTCCTTGTCTCTCGCTTTCCCCTCTATAATTAAAAAAATAGGTGCCCTCTCTCCTCTTCAGGAAGCCCCCTTGCCCTTATTTTGCTAGCTTTCTGAAACGACAAGGAAACAACACATAGAAAGAGAGGAAAGGGAATGAAACAATAGGCAGTGGAGCTCTTCAGTGTCTTTACCTATCTCTGTTCTTGTTTTTCTTTTTCATTCAATAAGGAAAAGAAGCTTCCTTTGGTGTGATTTTGAGATTCAAAAGAGAACAAGAGAAGAGAAGGGAGAGAGAAAGGAGAGAGGAGAGATCAAAAGGAAGCAATTTTCATGGGAAAAGCAATGAAAATCATGGAGGAGAAATGAAGACAGGAGACCGGGATCCCCTTGGCACCCTGCAAAAGTCCTGCAAATACCACACCAAACGGAAAAGGGTAGGAACAACATTTGCAGGTCAAAATTTGCCGGGATCCCCTTGGCACCCTGCAAAAGTCCTGCAAATACCACACAAAACGGAAAAGGGTAGGAACAACATTTGCGGGTCAAAATTTGCCGGGATCCCCTTGGCACCCTGCAAAAGTCCTGCAAATTCCACACAAAACGGAAAAGGGTAGGAACAACATTTGCGGGTCAAAATTTGCCGGGATCCCCTTGGCACCCTGCAAAAGTCCTGCAAATGCCACACAAAACGGAAAAGGGTAGGAACAACATTTGCGGGTCAAAATTTGCCGGGATCCCCTTGGCACCCTGCAAAAGTCCTGCAAATGCCACACAAAACGGAAAAGGGTAGGAACAACATTTGCGGGTCAAAATTTGCCGGGATCCCCTTGGCACCCTGCAAAAGTCCTGCAAATACCACACAAAACGGAAAAAGGTAGGAACAACATTTGCGGGTCAAAATTTGCCGGGATCCCCTTGGCACCCTGCAAAAGTCCTGCAAATACCACACAAAACGGAAAAGGGTAGGAACAACATTTGCGGGTCAAAATTTGCCGGGATCCCCTTGGCACCCTGCAAAAGTCCTGCAAATGCCACACAAAACGGAAAAGGGTAGGAACAACATTTGCGGGTCAAAATTTGCCGGGATCCCCTTGGCACCCTGCAAAAGTCCTGCAAATACCACACAAAACGAAAAAGGGTAGGAACAACATTTGCGGGTCAAAATTTGCCGGGATCCCCTTGGCACCCTGCAAAAGTCCTGCAAATACCACACAAAACGGAAAAGGGTAGGAACAACATTTGCGGGTCAAAATTTGCCGGGATCCCCTTGGCACCCTGCAAAAGTCCTGCAAATGCCACACAAATCGGAAAAGGGTAGGAACAACATTTGCGGGTCAAAATTTGCCGGGATTCCCTTGGCACCCTGCAAAAGTCCTGCAAATACCACACAAAACGAAAAAGGGTAGGAACAACATTTGCGGGTCAAAATTTGCCGGGATCCCCTTGGCACCCTGCAAAAGTCCTGCAAATGCCACACAAAACGGAAAAGGGTAGGAACAACATTTGCGGGTCAAAATTTGCCGGGATCCCCTTGGCACCCTGCGAAAGCCCTGCAAATGCCACACAAATCGGAATAGTGTAGGAACAACATTTGCGGGTCAAAATTTGCCGGGATTCCCTTGGCACCCTGCAAAAGTCCTGCAAATACCACACAAAACGAAAAAGGGTAGGAACAACATTTGCGGGTCAAAATTTGCCGGGATCCCCTTGGCACCCTGCAAAAGTCCTGCAAATACCACACACAACGGAAAAGGGTAGGAACAACATTTGCGGGTCGGGGTTGGGGGGTCAGGAATTAAATAATTTAAATAATTTAAATGCCCCAGGGGGGGCGTCCGGGCATTTAAATTATTTAATTCCCCGGCTCGTACTTTAGTATTGGGGGGAGGCCCGCGCTCGTAATTCAGTATTGGGGGGAGGCCCGGGCTCGTAATTTAGTGTTGAGGGGGAGGCCCGGGCTCGTGATTTAGTATCGGGGAATTGAAAAATTGATTTCATTTCAATGTCCAGGGGCCCGATTTGGCCAAATTTTGCCGGGCAGCCTCCGGGCAAAATTTGGCCAAATCGAGCCGCGCATTTCTCATGGCATACGAAGGGCAGCCCGATTTGGCCAAATTTTGCCCGGAGGCTGCCCGGCAAAATTTGGCCAAATCGAGCCGCGATAGTTTAAAATAATCTCGGGCCTTCAGAAAGGCGCGGCTCGATTTGGCCAAATTTTGACCGGAGGCTGCCCGGCAAAATTTGGCCAAATCGGGCCCCTGGACATTGACATGAAATCAATCTTTCAATTCCCCGATACTAAATCGGGGGGGGCCAGGCCCGACCAGGCCCCCCCCGGAATTAAATAATTTAAATAATTTCAATCCGAAAGGGGTGTTCAGGATTTAAATTATTTAAATTATTTAATTCTGGGAGAGGGAGGGGGCCCGGTGGGGCCTGGCCCCCCCCCCCTTTTCGGATTTAAATTATTTAAATTATTTATTTAAATAATTTAA